CTAGTGTTTCATTTAAGGCCACTCTTGCCTTCTTGACTTTCTGTCTGGATGATCTATCCATTGATGTAAGTGGGGTGTTGAGGTCCCCTACTATTATTGTGTTGCTGCTAATTTCTCCCTTTAGGTCTGTTAATAGTTGCTTTATATACTTTGGTGCTCCTGTGTTAGGTGCATATATATTCATAAGTGTTATGTCCTCTTGGTGGAATGGCCCCTTTATCATTATATACTGCCCCTCTTTGACTCTCAATGCCTTTTTTATCTTGAAGTCTGCTTTGTGTGATATAAGTATGGCAACATTTTCTTCCTTTTAGTTGCCATTTGCTTGGAGTATCATCTTCCATCCTTTCATTCCAAGCCTATGTTTGTCTTTCGAGCTGAGATGTGTTTCCTGGAGGCAGCATATTGTTGGGTCTTGTTTTTAATCCATCCAGCTGATCTGTGTCTTTTGATTGGAGAATTCAATCCATTTACATTTAGAACTATTATTGATATGTGAGTGCCTAATACTGTCATTGTATCTCTTGTTTTCCAGTTGTTGTATATTCTCCTTGCTTCTTTTCCCTCATATTTCTGACTTCCATTTCACTTTGGTGGTTTTCTGTGATGGATTTCTCAGTTTTCTCTTTATTTATGATTTGCAGCTCTGCTCTGCTTATTTGTTTAATGGTTACCATGTGGTTTGTAAAAAAGATCTTGTAGATGAGATAGTCCATTTTCTGAGAGCCTCTTATGTCCATTAGCCTAAGCAGGTTCCATCCTTTTCCTCTTCTCCTTCTAAGTTATTGTTGTCACAAATTATTTTTTGTGTTGTGAGTTTGTGACTAAATTGAAGTGTTTATAGTTATTTTTGATGCTTTCCTTCCCTTTATGTTATAATTGTTTGCTAACCTATTGTGATAAGAGAGCTTCAATTTTCTGATTTTTGTCTGTCTATTCATCTCCTTGCTGAAAGATTTGTAAACCTTTGCCTTTTTGTTTGGTAGGAGAGCTCCATTCATCATTTCTGGTAAGGCTGGTCTAGTGGCAATGAACTCCCTCAGCTTTTGTTTATCCGGGAAAGCTTTTATTTCTCCATCAAATCTGAAGGATAATTTTGCTGGATAGAGTGTTCTTGGCTGAAAGTTTTTGTCTTTCAGTATTTTGAATACATCATTCCATTGTTTCCTAGCCTTTAAGGGTCTGTTGAGAAGTCTGCTGAAAGCATGGTAGGGGTTCCTTTGTCGGTTGTTTTCTTCTGCCTTGCTGCCTTTAATATTTTTTATTAGTCATTGACTTTTACCAGTTTTAATATTATATGCCTTGGAGAAAGTCTTTTTGCATTGATGTATTAGGCGTTCTATTGGTTTCATGTACTTTTAAGTCCATTTCCCTCCCCAGGTTTGGGAAGTTCTCAGCTGTTATTTCTTTGAACAATCTTTTTGCTCCTTTCTCCCTCCCTTCTCCCTCTGGAATAACTATAATCCTTATATTACTTTTCCTAATTGAGTCAGATATTTCTCAAAGAATTTCTTCATTTTTTAAAACTCTTAGTTCTCTCTCCTCCTCCACCTGAAGTATTTCTGTATTTGTATCTTCTAATTCACTAATTCTTTCCTCCATAAGATCTGCTCTATTTTTATAGTTTCTGCATTATTTTTTATCTTATTAATTGTGTTCTTCATATCTAGCATTTCTGTATATATTTTTTTAAGGGCTTCAATCTCTTTGGTGAAGTATTCCTTCAGTTCATTAATTTTATTCCTGAGCTCATTGAACTATCTTTCTGAGTTTTCTTGTAACTTGTTGAGTTTCTTTATGACAACTATTTTGAATTCTCTGTCATTTAGATTGTAATCTTCTGTGACTTGAGGTTTGGTTTCTGGAGACTTGTCATTTTTTTTTTTTTGTTCTGCAGTGTTACTGTCGTTTTTCATGGTATTTGATGAATTGATCTTCTACCGGCACATTTGTGGTAGTATCCAGTCGCAGATTCCACCTGCTGCTGCTGAGGGGTGGGGAGGCAGGAGCTGTGTTTTCTGATCCTGCCCCATCTTCTGGTATTTGTACTGGTCAAACCACTCTGCATTCACGCAGGCTGGCCACAGCCACTCAATGGGTCGTGACTGCACAGGTGGGGCCACTGCACTCAGTGAGCAGGTCCGGCTGAGTTGCTGCGCTAGGCAGGAGAGGCACTTTCACATGGGCCAGTGGTGTGCTCGCAGGCAGGTCCTACAGGCTGCTGTGCTCGGCGGGCAGGGCATTTTCACACAGGCTGGTGCTGCGCTTGATGGGCAGGGTCCCTCAATGCAGGCTGAGCCGCCATCACTCAGTGGGGAGTGTTTGTGTGGGCGGGGCCACCTTGGTAGGTGGGTGCTCCCTTGGGCCGTGCCACCACTCTGAAAGTGTTTGCATGTGGGCTGGGCTTCCCCCACCTCCACTCACAGTTGTGCTGGCCGCTGTTGAGAATCCATGACCTGACTCGCTGCCGCTGGGGAGAAGGAGGGGTCTGCTTACCTAATTCCACTGTTTCCCAGGAATCCAGTCCACCCGCCTTCAGATGTATAGCTGCATGGATCTCTCAGGCATCCTGTTGTGTTGTGTAGGGAATCCTCTGTTGGTTAATGCATGTCTGTTTAGTTGTAACTTAGAGGGGAGAGATAAAGGGAACAACTCACTCTGCCACGATGCTGACATTACTCTCCTCAATTCTTTTGGGTATATACTTAGGAGTTGAATCGTTGGATCATATGGTAATTCTACGTGTAATTATTTGAGGAAGCACCACACTGTTCCCATTTCTGGTACTCTTAATTCCTTTGTTTAGATCCAAATTTCTATCTGTTATCACCTATTTTGTGCCTGAAGGACTTCCTTTAACATTTCTTGTAGTAATGATCTGCTTGAATGTATTCTCTCAGCTTTTTGTTTGTCTGAAAAGTCCTTATTTTTGTCCCTTTCTTTGGAAAGGTATTTTTTCTGTGTATGGAATTCTAGGTTGACAGATTTTCTTTTTCTCTTTCAGTATTTTAAAGATGTTGCTCCTGTTTTCTGGATTGCAGTGTTTCTGATAAGAAGTTTGCTGTCATTCTTATCTTTGTTCCCATGTACATAATGTGTCTTTTTACTCTGGATGCTTTTGGTGTTTTCTGTTTATCACTGATTTTAAGTAATTTGATTATGATGTACCTTGGTGTGTTTTCTTCATGTTTCTTATGCTTTGTTTTGTTAAGCTTTTTGGATATGATGGTTTATATTTTCATCAAATTTGGAAAAATTTTGGTTATTATTTCTTCCAACGTATTTTTGTTTTTCTCTGCCTCTCTACTCCTTCTGGAATTCCGATTCCATGTGCATCAGCCTGCTTGATATTGTCCTACAGCTCACTGAAGGTTTGTTCATTTTTTTAAAGTCTTTTTTCTCTAGATGTTTCATTTTAGATAGTTTGTTTCTATGTCTTTAAGTTTACTAATCTTTTCTTTTGCAGTTTCTAATTTACCATATTTTTTATTTTATATATTATATTTTTCATCTCTAGAATTTCAATTTGGGTCTTTCTCTACTTGTCATGCTCGTGCTTTCCTCTATCTTCTTGGACACATGGAGTATATATGTTATAGTTCCTTTAACATCTATTTCTACTAATTTTTATAATATCTGTCATTTCTGAGTCCATTTTTATTGATTAATTTTTCTCTTGGTTATGAGTCATATTTTCCTGCTTCTTTGTATCACTTATAATATTTTATTAGATACCAGATGTAGATTTTACATTATTGAGTATTCAATTTTTTTAAAATATATATTCCTTTAAATTTGAGAGTTTTGTCTTAGATGTAGTTAACTCTGAATCTCTCTGAAAGGACAGTTAACCCTGTCCTTTCAAGTCTTGCTTATTTTTTGAAGCTTGCTTTTAAGCTTTGGTTAGGGCAATCTTTCATGTACAGCTAATTTGGACTCATTAGTGAGGCAATATTACTCTTATAATTCTACCTTTTTATTCTACAGTACAGCCATTCCTGCCTATGTATTAGAAGGTCTTTCCAATCTGGCTGATGGGAACACAAACTATTCTTCTGAGGATTCCTTTGAAGATTGTTCCACCTACTCCTTTCTGGTGGTTTTTTCCCTGGTCTTCATGGTTTTCTCTCCCACATGCCTAGATCAATACATAATCAAAGATTTGAGGGTACCTCTGCAAATCTCCAGAGCACTGTATCTCTGTGTGTCTACCTCTTCTCTGATAATCTGCTTCACAAATTTTAGCTGCCTAGGCCTCCCCAAACTCTGAAGTCTGTCTCTGCAATTTACCAAGACAGCTCATCTCTGTTTGGATTCTCCCTCACTGGACTCACTTTCTCCGGCCAGTGAGCTGGGGCACTTGATGAGCTCAATAGTTTGTTTTTTTTCTTTCAGGGATTACTATTCTGCACTGGTTGTTATCCAGTGTTTGAAAACTGGGTCTTTTTATATATTTTGTCCAATTTTTAGTTTTTAAGGCTAAAGGGCAAATTCTATTCCTGTTATTTCACCAAAGATGGAAGCAGAAATTTCTTCCCTTGGATTTTGTCCTGCTGGTTCCTTGCTATGTTGTCAGTTCTTTGATCCTTTTAAGGATTTAAGAAAGTATTTTATCCAGCATGTTTAGTTCTTTTGCATGGAAAGTTTGGTTCAAATAGCTTAGGCTATCATTGTTAGAAATGGAAATCCTTATGGCCTTTTCAATTAAAAAAATAGAAAAAGATTTTATGATACCTTCATAAAAGTGGAGCAGTTGGGTGAGCGGAGGTGGATAATTCTGTGGTTCCTCTGAATAGTCAAAGGATAAAATAAGGAAGCTGGGACATAGTTTAGGTAGGCCTGGCTAGATTTCCCAGATTTGGCCTGCTTTCTCATGGTATGGATACTAGATGGTAACTTACTAATAGACTGGGAGGTAGGATTCTTATAGTAGAAAATGAAATTAAATTGAAGGAAATTAGAGTGGGACAGTTATGATGGGTTTTTTGATTTTCACCTAGATATTCTACATTTCCTCATTTCTCTACACTGTCAGTTACATCTGGTATTTGTACAAAGAGCTGAGGATGAAACACAACCAGCATGGACAGAGCACATTTCCACTGGTAAGTTTTATTCAGAGCTAATAGTTAAGAACAGTATGCTAAAACAAACCCATATATCCTTGATAAACACTGTAAGCACTCAGCACTGGCTAGGTGAATTCATAGAGGTTAATTAAAAAAAACACACGTTCTCATAGTTTCCATTCTGTTGACATAATTTCTTCTTCTCTCTTGCCATCAAAAAAAAAAAAAAAAGGATTTGATTATAGGAAGCATTATTTACAGTACTGCCATTCCTGCCTAGTTCCATTCAGTAAGGGAAATCTTTCTTGGCTCCATGCCAATCCATCATTGTTCCTAGAATAAAGAAAAAGATCCTGAAGAAGAGTCGTGGAAAGTACACAGTCTGCTAACATGGGATTTAGGTTACAGATATTGGAAAGGGAGACTGTTCTGCTCTGCTATGTTTCTTCAGTATGTGTGGGTAACAGATACTGGTTTGCGGAAGGGTAGAAGAATTAATGGGTGGTGATCAGAAAACAAGATGCATCCGGAGAGCAGTTGTCTTGCCTTCTTTGGTTCACAAAAAGTTTTGGGCACTGTCTAGCATTACAATTATAAAAGAGAGGAGAACATAAGTCAGTACATCTGGATTCTTTTTTGTGTATGCGTATTTTACATATCACGTAATTCACCTATTTCAAGTGTACAGTTCAATGATTTTTAAAGTAAACTATCCAAGTTGCACAATTATCATCATAAATCAGTTTCAGAATATTTTTCTTCACCCCAATAGAATTCTTCACACCCACTTACTGTTAATTCCCCTCCTATCTCCTGCACTAGGCAACCACTAATCTACTTTCTGTCTCTACAGATTTTCCTTTTCTGGACATTTCATATAGGTGGAATCATGCAATATATAGTCTCTTGTGTCTGGTTTATTTCACTTAGCATAATGCTTTTGAAGTTTATTCATTACAGCGTGTATAAGTCATTCCTTTTTATTGCTGAACAGTGTTCTGTTGCATAGTACTATATAGTAGTACTAGTTTCTTATTTCTGATTCCTTCAGTATATCACTAAGTGATCTTGGCAGAAGACATTTTTATGATGTTAGCAATTTTAATTTCTTTAAATGTCGTTATATGTTTTAGTCTTATTATACATATCATACTAAATATTCCAGTCTTTTTATTTCTGCAGTATCCATTTTGTTGTGGTTTTCTGAAGGCGAATTTTTGTTTAAAGGCACCATGGAATAAATGAATCTGGAAAGCCTCCCAACATACCTTTCTCTAGAGCGTATAGATCAGTTCTAGAACAAATGAAAGTGGTATACTGTCACACACATGATGAAACTCTATAAGTATTTGTTGAATGAATAAATGGTACTATTGCCTCGTGAAAAGAGCATTTGAGGGTGAATCAAGAGCTCTGTCTTCTAGACCCAGTTCTGTCATTTATTTCCTCTGTGACCTTGGGCATATCATCTCCCTTTCTTGGGCCTCAATTTTCTATCACAGTTTTCTTTCTAACATCATGAAGTGTTGGTCTATGTGATCTTTAATGTCCCTTCAAGCTCTAAAATGCTATGATATTCTTAAATCCTCATCTGACTGACTTCATAAGAAGATATTCATCTTGCCTTTTTCTAGCCTTGTTCTAGAGACACACTGTTGGAAAAGGGCAGGGGCATAGAACGCTTTTAAAGCTTTTCTGTTTTTTTTTTTCTTTTTTGCTATAAGGAGAAAGGGCAATGGGGAAATCACTAAAAAATTAGCATGAAGAGACCCCTTAAGCAGCATCCTCGACAAGATATTACAGTCTATACAAGCAGTGTTCAACTTTTTGCAGTGATCAAAATATTTTATGTGCTGTCCAATTCAGTAGCCACTAGCCATATGTGGCTCTTGAGTGTTTGAAATGTGGCTGGTGTAATCAAAGAACTGAATTTTTAATTTTATTTAATCTTAATTTTAATTTGACCACAGGTAGCAGTAGCTACTGTATTGTACAGCACAAGACTATATTTTGATGACTTTTTCTCTTGTTTACCCCTGGGGATTCAAAACTTATAATTACTCTTCTATATTTTAATTTTTTTTTTTTTTTTTTGGTGAGGAAGATCAGCCCTGACTTAACACCCAATACCAATCCTCCTCTTTTTTTCTGAGGAAGATTGGCCCCTAGCTAACATCCATGCCCATCTTCTTCCACTTTATATGGGACACCCCCACAGCATGGCTTGACAAGCAGTGCCTCGGTGCGCACCTGGGACCCGAGCAATATATTTTAAACTTGATTCGTTTCTCAGCTCCATACTATTTAGTAATGACCCATGGCTATATATGCTTTTACATGTTTGTCTACATAATCCTAGAATCCTAGGGCTGGAAGATACTGCAAAGATATAATTAGTTCATTTTCCTCCCTTCAGGCTGATGTCTAAAAGGTTCAACAGCCTTATAGGGGTAGTATTTCAAGTTTTTATTCATTCATTCATTCATTGATTCACAAGCTAAGAATTTGGAATTTGGGAGAAGTTATTCGACCACAGAGTCATTCCCTAAAGAAGTTGTCATGATGAGACCAGAAGCCAAGGGACAACGTGGGGGAATATTTTCCTGAGGCTTGGGCTTCTGGCAGGAGAACAAATTAATCTTTGAAGGAAAAGGGAAGGAGAGACATAAGATTAGCTCTCATATATGGTACTCTACTGCTTTCTATGCATACAAATGCACATACCATATTTCTCTTTATAACCCATGTTACAACACTAGTTCGAAGAAGAAAAACTCTGGCCCCAGATTTTAACCCCACTGCCTATTATTCTGTCATTATAGCTTTATAGCAGGAGGCTTGAAGTTTGTTGTTGTTTTGTTTTTTTTGTTTTTTTCATTTTTGAGTTCTCTTTTTAAATACCCGCCCTAAACTATTATCAGTAAGATTTTTGTCCGAGATTAATTGACATCCAGGTAAGAACAAGAGTTAAAAACAGAAGAGCCACCTGATGGATAGAGGATACAATAAAAAGAGAAGAAGGGAAGTGAGTGGGAGAGGTCACCAAAGACTAATTTATACTGATTTCCCTTTTTTCCTCAAGTCAACACTGACTATCCTACTTGAAATCATTTGCTATTCCTGACCCAAACTTCTTAGGGAAAATCAATTACTCACCTCTGATTATTGATTAATTGCTCGCTTAATGCTTATTGATCTCTAACATTGCCATTCCAGAATATAATATATCTACCTTAAATATATCTACCTTAAAATAGAAAAAAACTTCTATTTGATTATCCCTTTAAGGTGTTCTTTTCAAAATCTTTCACCATAAATTCCTAGTGGGTAGGGACCATCCTTCTGTAAGTTGTTTTATAGAGTCTAACACAACTGGGGCTTTTTGAAATATTCTTTCTTCTAGAGTCCAACAGGTCTTATATCCAAAGGGCTTTGACCCTGCCCTATTATAATAACCTTGGCTTATTATGCTTTCTGCTGGTCATTTTATACATAGACTTTCATTCCGCCCAGAAGGTCTGAAAAGTCCACACCTCCCTGGATCTAAAAGAGAAGAAGATTGAACTTTTATTAGAAGATGGAGGATAACTGTGTGATTTCATATTTGTCTTTCTTCTTAAGAGAATTTGTTCTGGTATCCAAATCTTATATTAAGCTACTTCCTGCAGGCTCTCTTTATGGCTGTTGTGGTTTTTGTACTTTTTAGAATATGGTAATACAGATAAAATTCTATAATCGCCAGTGTTAAGGAACTATTTATTTCATTGAATTTTATAGCAAATATTGCTTGACTGAAGCAAGCTGGCTCTTGGAAATTTTTGTTCTATCAAGTGATAAGTGATGACCTGCTATTTATTATAACATGGTTGGCAATATCCTAAGAGGTTACTCACATTTGTTCTTTTTATAGGTTATAGATTATACTTGTCAAGTTGGTCAAATAGCCATCATTTTGTCAAGGTAAGATTTTTGCCTTCCTTCCTAGCAAAGTATAGATTCTCATTACTCTGGAGTCCAGATGGGAACAAATGGGAGGACAATGTCATTTATTTCCATTGAGTCTGTTACTCCTAGGTCTTCATGGAGCTTTACTGAGTAGGAAGAAACAAATATGCAATCATTGGTTTTGTTTTCCCAGATAGAATAGGCAAGCAGTTTGAAGTTGCAGATTTGGGTTTTAGCCCCAGTTCTGCCATCAACTTTATGTGACCTTCAACAGATATTTCCGTTTAAGTCTTTAGACTTCTAATTCATTTTCATATATCTTGAAGACTTGTAATAGATGGCTTTCAAGATCTCATCCATCCTTATAACATTGGGTGAGACTCTTATAACTGTTAAGCCCAGAAAGGGTCTGGATCCCACCTAATGTGGTGGTCACATAAGAGTTGGTTTTAGACTTTGTAACTTTTACTCTTGGATCTTTTCCTCTTACAGGGAGCTGGCTATATTTCGCTGGATAAATAATTGGTTATTTAGAAGTATGCTTTAAAATTATGGGGGAAAAGCTCCCAGGAAGAGGCTGATGAGAATCAAGTTATTCCTTGTCACCATAGAAGGTGAAACAGGCTGAGCACAGAGCTCCATGGTAGATTTTTTCCTTTCACTTTGACACACTTGTATTTTTATCTGACCACACAAGTCCCGGAGACTCTCTATGAAACTGTATTAGGGTTCATTAACCTAGGTATAAAAGGAATTTCCCACTCCACTTTCCCAGGAACTGGAAAAGAAGGTATGCTTAAAGTTTTTGAAGTATTTTTCTTGAAGAAGTTAAATGTGTATGTATTTGTGGAGAGTAGTCGGGTGATAGAGTTGGGAGAAGAACAGGAGAATATTTTGCAAAGGGGAAAGGTCACGAAAAAGTCTGAATACTAAGATGATGTTTTTTTCCTCCCAGCCTGATACCTCTACTATTGATGATACCTGTATTCTGTCTGGGCAATGCCAGTGGATGTTTCCACAACTTCAGCCAGAACCACAGGTAAGTAAGGACCAAATCTATCATTTTCATGGTAGAGTACACCTATTCTTTTCTATAAATAGAGATGAGAGAAGACTTTGTACACACATTCTGGCCAAGGTGCTTATATTCTAAATGGGCTATGGAACAAGGTATAATCAAGGCTAAAAGTGCATAAGTATAAATATAAGACAAAGTGACTAGAAGATAATAAGTGTATGAGAAGGAACAAGGTGTTATGGGCAAGGGTTAGCAAAATGATAAGTAAAATTGCATGCTCATTAACTTTTGTTGCACTGAATGGATATCTCTCTAGTCTTATATCTGTAGCAGTACTCCTGTCCATTGATTCTCTTCCTAGGTGTATCCTGATGTACTCACCACCATCAGCCATGGCTGAACTCCTGCCTTCTGCCAACACATCAGTCTGTAGCACACTTTATTTTTATGGGCTCACCATTTTCCTGGCCAGCTTTCTACTCAGCCTCCTCACCATTGTGGTATGGTGCCCCACTACCTGCCTTTATGGAAAGAGGGGAAATTGGGAGGGATGAGCAGTATTCCCAGGGTATGGGAAAGATAGGGTGGAGAGGCACTTCCCATCATCCCTAGAACTAGGAAAGTGGCTAGGAGATATTGACAATTTAATTTTTACCTCAGTCCTTTGAAATTCCCAAGATCAAATGATGAGTGGGGAATAAAGCCTGTATTCATTATCTGAGTATTATGCTCACTCTAGAACTAATGTATTTTCCTGTGGATTCTCATGGAGGACCAGACCAGAAAACTAGTATGTATCAAATATATCCTTTATACAGGATGACACTCTGGAACATAGGACATATGCTTTTATTTAATTTTCCAAATAATGAAAGAATTTTCTTTTCTCAATTCTTTATTGGCTATAAATTTGCATTTATGCTATGGTTAACTGGGGTTAAGGTGCTAAGTGGCTCAGGCAGTTATTAAATATTCATTTGACATCATCAGAATGATGTACAATTAAAATAGCCATGGGACAGTATGTTATTTATACATAACTGCCTAGTACAAAATCAGTAAACAAGCAAATATACCTTTTTATTTGCCTTATCTACTTTTCAGTATCATTATCTCCTCTTCTCATATGCTAGTTCAGGAATTACAAACTATCTGCTTGCAGATCAAATTTATCCCACAATACGTTTTGTTTTGCTAGCACAGCTAGCACGTGTGAACCAAATATAATTGTGGAGAATTTCCTTTGAGAATTCAAAAATAAGTTATGGAGATAGCTTAGCTCAAACCAGCAACTTTATAAAGAGTGCACAATGACTAGTTTATATTAAAATGGCTTTGATGATTTACATTTAGAACTGGTTGACAAGAGAGACAGGTCTCCCAAAGCCTGGCACCCTGGGAATTCCAATTTGCTTCTTCAGAATAACCCAGGCTTCAGTGGGCATTCAGAATTAGCATTCTGATTATTTTTTAATCAACAGCTGGTGAACTGATTTTACTAAACATAAATATTCTCAAATAAGTTCAAGCCTTCTTTTGATTCCTGTATCTGTGGGGAAAGGAAACTACACGGCTAAACTTAATTGAGTAATTGGGTTATTAACTTAGAAATGGATCTGGAGTATTAGGGAAAAGTTTCAGGTTTGGTCAGATTTGCTACCAAGATTATTACCTAATTTACTCCCCACAAAAAGCACATTGGACTTCTCAACTGATTTATATTTCTTTCATTAGTTAAACCTTATTCAGATAGCCCCCAAATGGAAGGAACAACAATCTATTTTCCATCTAAAGGCAAGAACAGACTTCCTAAAACTCTTTTTGCTTAGAGTTGAGAATTTAAGCTCAGCCACTAAAGTATTTTAAGTAAAGTATTTATTTTAAGGGTATTTAAAGTGCTAACATATTTATTTTAAGGGTATTAAGCATAGAACACTTTCTAACACAATCTCCAATGAAGTGTTTTAAAAGAGGATCTGATTAGATCTTAGTTTTAACTTCCCATGCATATTGTGATTAGCTTCAGTGAGGGAAAAAAAAAGGCTGAGGGTTAATGTAAGGTTGGTGTATTGAACATGGTTACCAAAAGTTTGGCTAATCTCTCTCCATTTCCATGGCCAAGCAAGAGTTCACTCTGAAGATAATTTTCTCTCAGAAAAAGCCTGGTCTCAGATGGTAAAGATAAGAGAATGGTCTTTACTGCTGTGAGACCCCAAGAGAATGATCGCTCTAAAATGGTAGGAGGATAGACCTGGGAAGTTTTACTAAGCCTTAAGTAAACTACTCAATGCTATCCCCATGTTTAGATCCTACTCATCCAAGCCCAAACACTGTATAAGAAGTTTGTGAAATTGACTGGCTTTCTGGGGAGTGAACAGTGGGCAGTGATTCACGTTATGGAGCAGCGAGTGCGCTTCTACCCAGTGGCCTTCTTTTGCTGCTGGGGCCCAGGTGGGTATCTTAATGGAAAGAGCTGGGCAACTGTTGGGTTCTATTCAAGCAAAGTGGTCTCACCAAGAAAGATGACTGCAAATTCCTGTCCAACTTGTAAAATTTACATTGGTCTCACTGTATTTCCAGTTTTTCCCAACCTCCTCAACTTCTTTTCCTTATGTTTTAGAAATTAAGATAATTAGACATGAGATGCAAAGTGATATGAGAGGAAATGTCCTGACAGAACTCAGAGATATTAACACCTGTTCTTCCTACTACGTAAAGTTGTAGTGAGGATCAGATTGGATAATGTTTGTGAAAGAACTTGGTAAAGCCTAAAATGCTAAGAAGTGTAACTTATCTTCCTGTAGTTTGTCTTGCCACAGTTGCTACACTAATAATCTGCAAAGTTTAATCAATGAGGAATAGAAGTTGGAGACCGAAGGCCCAGTGGTTTATATAACTGATTAATCTCACTGCTGGTCTTCATTATGCCTATAGTTTCCATTCTCACAATGCTTAGGCATGTATACTAAAGAATTTTATGCTCAAGCAGCCAGGGCTAGCAACAAGATTTATACTTTGTGTTTTCACAGCTGTCATTCTGATGATCATAAAGCTGACTAAAGCACAGGACACCAAGCTTCACATGGCCCTCTATGTTCTCCAGGTAACACTTTCAACATCCAGCATCTCTATTCTCACACCCTTGTAGCCTATTCTCTTACACTGCCATAACTCAGCAGGCACACATTTTTCTCTCAGAGTATTTATTTCTACATTTCAGAAGAGAAAATGTATTATTTATATTCAGTTATGAAGAAGTTAAATTTTCCTCACAGATGAGGTAGATACTTTAGTGAAAGTGCTGCCATGCATTCCAGAGCATATGTATCTCTGGTCAACTTTATTTTATTGATATGTTTTTAAGGAATGGGTAACAAAAAACAAGATCTACAAGATAATGTTCTTATGAAACACTGATAGTGACATGATTCTCTCCCACCCAGAGTGAATTGAATGGGATAAATTAGTTATTCTAGGTGAACAGGGAGGGAGGAGTAGAGAAATGGAATGATTCTTTTCCTCCTTTATCAGATTTAAGAAGGCTTTTTGGGCTATCTGACTATGCTGATAGGGCAGTTTTCCAAAGCCTCATGTGGGAAATGGGGAAATAAGGAAGGGCATTGAAGCCACTTCATTGGCCTTATGTATATACTAAGAAATACGACTAACTCTCAGTCATCCATGACAAGGGACAGTAAGAAGAGCGAGTTCAGGAACAGCTAGAAAAATGTAAAAAACTGATGGCAGATCTTGATGTGTGAGATAGAGGAAATATAACAATGCTTTATAAATAAGAGGAATGGGGACTATTCCCTGGATCTCTGAAAGCCTGAAGGATGGGCTCCATCACCCCTTCATCTCCTCCAGGCTCTAACAGCATCATCCCAGGGTCTGCTCAACAGTGGAGTATATGGCTGGACACAGTACAACTTCTACCAACTAAAGCAAGAGGCTCGGCGTGATGCAGACACCCAGACACCATTGTTGTGCTCACAGAAGAGATTCTATAGCAGGGGCCTAGATCCATTGGAGTCTACACTTGCTTTTGCTACCAGCACCTCCACCATTCTTTGAAACTATAATACTGGAACATCCGGGAACTAGAGTTATTCTACATTAATGGATGGGGAATAGTGTTGGGGAAGAGCATCTTAAGTCTTTTCTAACCATGCTTTAGCTATGGAAGTGAAAGGGAATATACTGCCATGGTTAGTAGCTATTCTAGGTGGATTGGGTAGGACCTCTCCCTTATTCTCAGATTCACTAGTGATTCCTAAAGTCGTTGTTCAGGGAGGTGAAGCCACTTTCCATCTAAGAGATACACTCATATTACTTTGATGAATATTATATTTGTCCAAGTCTCTTCTAGAAAAAAATAAATTTCAGATTATTATTTATACGTGCCATTGCCAGGCTCTCTGCTCCACAGTTGCAGGGGAAGTAGGGTGGCATGCAACAACTTACTCAGCTCTTGCCATTGCTATTACTCTCTCTCTGAGGTTGGACAAAAAACGTCCTCGGTTCCTGTTCTTTGAAGAGTTTTGGAAATTCAGAAGAAACAAGGATAACAACTGTCAAAAAAACAACAGTGGGACCCTCAGACACACCATATCCTAGTCTTTTATATGTTCACTACTGTTCTAGGTCTTGACACTAGGGTCCATCCTGCTCTAGAAAATTAAGGCCAATCTTTTGAAGTTACAGGAGATAATAAGATTTAAAAGAAATCAGGACTAAAAGAAACTCTATGATTCAAAAACTCTTAACTCTCATTTACAAGCAGAAGTCCAAGGTGTAGGTTTCAAAGTGCCTAGACATAGAATTAGGTTGAATCGTATGAACTTGCTGTTTTTGTAGGTGAAAATGGTCTAATATCATCAATTTTACATGGTTCAACCTAACAGTAAATGCTAAATATATGTTTATAGAATAAATGAATGAACAAGTGAATGAATGAATGATAAGTAGAATTTGAACCTTTTGGGAAAGAAAAGATTCCCAGACTGCAGAGCCTCATTCATAGGTAGGAGTATCTAATCTGTTTCTTCCTCTTCAATCACATAACAAGTGATGTTTGGTCTCTGGTTAAGTTATGAACAAGGCCAATCTGAGGCCAGGGCATCAGATACTATGATGCCAAAACAAAGGGGAAAGCCAAATGGACAAAGTGACTGGAATGATAATCAACTAAAACATCTGGAACTAATAATCAGAAGCTTCTCACCTAGTGAATTCCCTTGATCTGTCCAAGGCAAAATCCTTAAGATTAGAGAAAATTGACAGAGTAGATTATAATGGGGGATTAGACAGGATACTCTGAAAAGTAAGTTCCAGAGATTTTTCCAGAGGAGCTTTCTATAAAATGTTAGGGAGTTCAATAATAGCTCTTTAGGTTTTAGGTCATGAGCTTTAGCCTTACTGTGGAGGGTAACCTGGCCTTGTTCTGTCAAGATCACATCTTGAGGCCTCTCATTGCCCCAAAGCTCTGGAGACCCAATTTCTGGATAGCACAGAACAAGAAAGACTGCCTCACCTAGGGAGCTGCTTTAGCTTCTTTTATTTTAAAAACTAGTAAGCATTTGGCATATAGAAAGACAGATGGAAACAAGAAAGACTTCCTGTTTTCCATAGACCTTGAGGGACACCAGAACTAAGGAGTCTGATTCTTAAAAAGTCCTTTCAGTATCACTTCATATTTGGCTTTATTACCAGAAAGAAGGTAATTATTAAATTTTTGTCAGGTTTTTTCACCTTGCTTTTCTGATGAATTTTTTTGCATTGACATTGGTCTTACATCTTCTATGGTTGTAGGCAAAAAAAAAAGATAGTAGGAATGAGAAATAATAAAAGGCTAGGCACGACCCAGATTAGGATTATCAGCTTTTCGTCATACTGAAAGTCAGAGGGGACAGGTGGAGCTGCCCCCATAACCCTTGAATTTACATGTAGGAGGGGCATAGACATAGACACAGTGGCAGTTGTTAAAATTGTTGCAAATAGCCTTCCCGTGATAGCTTGTCCAGGTTGTAGGCATAGTGGAGTATAGTGGTATCTAAGCAGGTTTGATTAATACAGATCTTCTGTGGACCATATAGGATACCATGTTTCACCTTCCCCTCATCAGCCCTGTCTATAGCTTCAAAAAACTCTGCACCCCAAGACCATGTGTCCTACATGGGGAACTAGATAAGTGTTTGATGTTTTTTAATACATGAGAGCCTTTGGATGTTTTCACATAGCAGCCTCCCACATTTTACATCTTGGGCCTTGCACTTGCTGAAGACTTTAAACATCCCTTTAGATTAACTGCCACAGTTTCCAAACCTGTCCCCCTTGGTATTCATGTAATGATAGCAACTTTCCTGGGCAACCTTCCAAAGATTTTAACACATTGTTTTTCCAGGCTTCAGCACCAGCCCTGGTAACAACAATCTTGTTCTTTGCAAGGTGTGCCATCTTGCTTTTAGATATGTGTCTGCCACCACTTGGAGGTGCCATTATAGTATTCTTGGAGGTCACACTCATCCATACTGAGGTGGCAGGCTGTGGTTGCCTTTAGAAATTTTCAGTTTTTTGCAGCAGGATCCAAATGCACAATCTGAACCCTTCTTCACCTGGCATGAGGGCAGACAACACTGATCCTTTTGACAATCCAAGACACTGCCACAACCACATTCATCTCCTTTATGCACTATCTTATTCCTACAATATGGCTTTCCAAAGGAGCTTTGGAGCTCAGGTTTATTAAACAGGCAGTCCCCTCTGTGCTTATGCAATAGCTAGTGGAAGTAGTGGAAGCTGCAGTTGCTGAAGCCCATCTCTACAGTAATAAATTCATGCATAGTACAGAGGTTCTGGCCATGGGACTTGCAGGCCACATGGTGATGCTTCATTCCCAAATTGTGGCCAAGCTCATGAGCCACGAGAGCTGTGAAATGTGGTGTATCTTCATGAGAGAAAGATTAAACACTGCTTGTATTCTTGGCAGTGCAGATACCACTGAGAAATGCATGGCCCTGGTACTTCCCAAGACTTTGGCCAATAATCATATGAGCGACATCATGCTTCACCCTTCTCAAAAGATGCCCGTCTCTCCAGCAGTTAAAATTTTGAAGTGTTTCCTGCAAAGTCACAGAGATTTGCGCTAAATTTCTCTCTGTCCATATCTCTAACCCAGTAAGTACTACTTTCACATTTAGCTCCTTCATGTACCTGTTGGCCCAGAGAATGGACATTCGTTACCATCTGTGTTGTCTTGGTAATACTGTTTTCCACATTTGAAACCACTTATTGTCAACCACGATAAATATTTCTACATACTTGGGAAGTGACCACATAGAGGGCATAGGAACTAAGGAGAGTTCTATTCTGCTCTGAATTTGTAAAGTGGCTAAGAGCTCTTCCTGTACATCTCCACTGATTGCACAAGACTCACTTGACTTTAAAGATATGCTGTAAACCCTATGTTCAAAATTCTTTGAAGAATATGTAGGCTTGATGCCAAAGACAGTGCAATGTAAGATCAGGATTCCCTTTAGTCCTAAGCAAGTGCTGATAGTCACAGGAGAATCCAGGTCACCCTCTGAATACTCAGTCATCCTGAATAAAAGACATGTCCAAACCTAGTTTCCCATTTTCATGTGTATCAACAGAGAAGTTCTTGACAAATAATTCTTTCTTTTGCTATAAATTAATAATATGCCATTTCCCTTGTATGAGCAGGACATAGGACACCTTTTCTGATTTTCCTTCCAGTCCTCTGAACATCGTCAAGTTTCTAGGTATGACTATTTGGTAATAAAGAGATTCCCACTTACAATGCATCCCGTGAGGAATAGTCACTATCAGCAATAAGATGACATGCAGCTTAATATGGGAAGGGCCCATTCTTAAATGCCCCATCTGGAGATTCCTGGAAGAAAAAATTACTCCAAACCTTACCCATGACCACTTGATTTCATAGAAGAAAGGCCAGCAGGGAGACAGAGTAAATAACCAGGGTTGTCATTGTCATGGCCCAAGTGAAACAGCTAATGATCCCAGACTTCTTGCTCTCAGTTGCTCTCTTTGGGACCCGAATCGTTGTCAGTGACACAGTTTGGCCAAAGCTCAAAGCTATGTTGCCTGCCAGAAGGATAGCTGTTCCCACTGCTGGGAATTACATGATGACACCTGCGTTTTGACTGTCTCTTCCTACTCCTGTTGTGCTCTCTCTCTTCAGAAGTGTCCTTACTTTGCAACCTTCCTCAAAGAACAAGAGTTTTAGTGTTCCTTAGCTAAGCTCCTGCTGTCTTCATAGACGAGTCTTCAAGAAGAGGAAACTTTCGGAGATTCAGCCAGTGCTATGACCCAGGACCCAGGCCCTGAGAAAAGAAAAAAATATAACCTTCTTCCCTCAGTCCAGTCCCCATGGAACAGCCATCCCCTCCTGTCATTGTTATTCTTTTGAGTCATTGAAACTAAAGGTTCCAGAGCAGGGGTTTGTGGATCTCTGGGTAGGTCACAGGCCTCTGCTGTCCAATGCCTTTTGGACTGTTGGATCAGTGGACCATGCCATTGGACCATTCCCTACTCTATACCACACAGCCCATTTCAAACCTCCAATCCTTTTCCTTTTTTTTTCCTTCATTATTCACAATATGTTTATTTATTTGCTCAATCCTAGAATACATGTAGAGTATTTTTAGAATAACTAACCCATGCCTCTGTGCAAAGCAAATATACGAACTAGAGAACAATATTTGTGTTCAATTCTTTTTGCCTTTAGCCTTATGGAATGAGGTCAAAATAATATTTTCCAAAATTATTTAGGTTAGCATTTTCCCATCCAGACCTATTCAGTGTGGTTCTGTTATTCATTTTTAATACAGTTAGGTTCATATGTTACTGTTTGGATTTCATTTTGGTTAGCTTCCACATTTTGGATGATGATGATAATGATGATGATTTGGGGGGTTATGTGAAATGTTACCATAATTTTAAAAGTCTGTACTATACAAAAAAATGTACTACAGGTACACCTTCTTGAGCCTTTAACCTGTTTCCATGTCCTTGTTCTCTCCAGTCAGTTCTCACCCAGCAATCTCCATAGTACTTAGTTTATTTTTCCTGTATTTCTTTCTGCACAAATTAGGAGATGCATGTACATTTTCTTGTATCCCCTTTTTTCTTATATAAATGTAGTGTAACATTTTGCACTTTCCTTTTTAAACTTAAAGATATATCCTGTAAATCACTCCACATCAGTTCACAGAGGTCTTCCTCATTCATCTTTTTCACAGCTGCATAATATTCCATTTTGTGGATGTATCATAATTTATTCAATCACTCTCCTATGTATAAGCTTTTAGGTTGTTTATGCTATTTTGAAATTACACACAGTGCATCAACAAATAAT